TCTGGAGGGGAGGGGGGGGCTGGGGGGGGGTGGCGGGGTGGGCTGGAGGGTTACAGTGTCGGCGATGATCGTCTGACATCAGCTTGGCTGGACCAGTGGCGTCATCCGGGTGTCTGACTCCAGCTCCGCAGACCAAGTCTTAATTCCCCCCACTCAGCCACGGCGCACGTGCAAGAGAAAGCGCTTCAAGGACGTCCTCGAGGCCAGCTTGAAACAAGGCAGCATCGACATCAGCTCGTGAGAGATGATTGATTGCCCAGGACTGCCCCAAATGGAGGAAGAGGCGGCTGCAGGGAGCTCAGTGCTTTGAAGCCTCACGACAACAGCAGATGGAAAAGCAGAAGCGGCAGAAACTGCGCGTCATGAACCGAGCCAAGAGCCCGGAGCCACCCGCCCTGCGTGGAAACATGTCCGAGCTGCGGCAGAGGTTTTCGATCCTGGATCAGCCTCATCGGCCATCTTCAGACCCACAGATGATGCCCTACCCTTGACCTGGCGTCTGTACTGAGTCCAGTAGGACTCGCGCTTCTCTGCTAGAGTGCCATAAAAGCCCTGGTGCCGAAGGAAACTCAGCTATAGTTTGATTGTGGGATTAATAAACTGACCAAAAACATTATGGGCCGTAGCTCTAGGACTGCCGCGCTGCTCGAGGAGGGACGACAGTGGCGCCCGCGCACAGAGCCCTCGTTGTCCCAGCCCAGTTGTGGGGGTTGGGGAGCGTGGCCAGCTCACAAGACTGCAGGCTTGTGTGCCAGGATGTTGACCTCAGACGGGTTCTGAAAAGCAAGAAGTGTTTGAAGAACCAGTCCCACCACATTAAACACTCACCATGTACGAAGATCTGCTTCTTTAATAGCAAATTCAATTACCAAAAGATACAAAATCCCAAACTGCACAGATAAGGCCTGGCAATTGAAGATTAGAAGTTACAAGAAGTGTGTTTTTCTGGAGGCACAATAAGCTTATCAAGATTTGAAGGCAATTTTAACACATCTAAGTCCTAAAGTCTTCAAGCAGGTGGCCAGCCCCTGAGGGAAAGGACCTTCTTACCTAGGGCTCCAAATGAAGTCTCTAAATAGCGCTAACCAGGTACACTTGCAAGTTGGCAGTTCAGCAAGAACTGTGCCTCAAAACTGAGGAGCAAGAACCCCAAAGTGGACCTGGCTTTTATACTCTGGCTTGGTCAAAATATACAAAAACTTACTACAGAAGGTAAATTATAAAAGCATTCCTAACAGGTGCTTCCCTAATTAATACCTGGATGCCTATTCTTGTTCCCTGTATTAGCTGGTCTGAAATTAGCCTGGAGACCTGCCCGCTGCTTGCGCCAATCGTATGTACTAGCCTGCGGGGCAAAATCAATTATCTGCTGTTTAAAATGGGGCTTTTGGTGGGAGCAAGAAGGAATCTGTGCTGGGACCTGCACTGTTGCATGGACCTAGCAGGTGCCCAGGGAGGATGTGGCTTTCCAAAGCCTTCACTCACTGCTGCAGAGCATGAGCTAGAAGGACCCTGGGCAAGTTTCTGGGCCAGGAGTTGTGGGAGGGAGGAAGGGAGTGAAGCAGCTTACAGTTGGCAACTAATGAGTGGGCAACTGTATTGCGGTACTTGGAATCAGAGTCTGAGAGCTGCGGGGCCGACAGGGAGCTGCAGGGTAACATCTAGTCCAAGCCCTGCCTGAGGCAGAATCAGCCCTGTCCAACCCCACCCCAAACAAACCCCATGTGCAAACTCAGAACTACACGACACAGTTGCCCCTGACAGCCCCAGGCATCGCCCCCATCCCTGCCCCCGGGATACAGGGGGGCCGCGACTGCCAACATCTCGTTGCTGCTGGTGGATCATGGACGCTGCAGACAGCCCAGGATGAGGCCGTGACCCCTGCAGAGGAAGGCAAAACCCCACCAGTGCGACCATTCTGAGCAGGGGGGAAATCCCTTCCTGCCCCAGTGCAGCATGAGGCCAAGCCTGAGTGCAGGGGCAAGACCCTCCAGCCAGGACCCTGCGGGGTTGGTGCCAGCAGAAGCATTGGCCCAGCCACGGCCCCAACCTGGGCTGCACCCAGCACCTCTTGGGGAACACATGGAACAGCAGAAAGGGGGGAAAATTCCTTCCTGGACCCATGTAGCAACCAGTAAAGGCCAGAAGCTG